GCTTAACCTCCTAAATTTGAGTATATGCCACCACATCCGGTTCATTGAAAAAAAACAAAAGAGTACTAAATACCTGTAATACCTACTTTTATTAATCATTTTAAAAGCTTTAGGATTTCCATATGCAAGTTGCAAGGTTCACAATGAATTGGTGGATAAACAACTATTGACTTTGTGAAGAATAAACCATACTACTCAAAGTTCTGCTCTAAGAAAAGACGTTTCAACCTTGTTAACCAGCATATCTCCAGACTAGGGGATTTGTAAAAGCAGGCAGTAGTTTCAATTATATGAGCGACTTACACTGGACTTCTATTATTATTTCTACAGGGCAGTAATTTTTTTTTTTTGGTCTTTTTAAGACAGGGTCTCCCTGTAGCCCCAGCTGCCCTGGAACTCACTATGTAGACCAGGCTGGCCTTGAACTCACAGAGATCCGCCTGCCTCTGCCTCCAGAGTGGTGGGATTAAAGGCGTGCACCACCTCGCCCAGGTAGGATGGTAATTTTTAAAACTATGTTATATATTTGTGTGCCGTGCATGTGTGCGTGTGGGAGATGGGAGTGGGGAGGACTCGTGTACACCATGGCACAGGTGTGGAGGTCGGAGGACAACCCTTTGGAATCAGTTCTTTTCCTTCCACCATGTGGGTTCCAGGAATGGAACTCAGGTCCTCAGGCTTGGCGGTAAGTACTTCTACCTACTGAGCCATCTTACTGGCCCCCTCTATAACGCATTAACTTTTTAAAGATAAGAACTTTAAAGTGGGATGTGGTAATGGCTGTAATTCTAGCCCTCAGGAGACTGAGGCAGAACGATCATGAGTTAGGGACTAGCTTGAGCTACATAGTAAGAGTCTGTTGTAAAATAACAAACAAAAGAGGATATTTATTTTTCAAATGATTTGCAGATTGATTTTTTTCCCCACTTTTCATTTTCATTCATTGAGAATTTGTATGTAGAACCGACATTTTCCCCAAATAGGTGTTTTCTATTACTGTCACGCTAAAATATTTATCCTATATTTATTTGCACAAAGTATCCCACAAAGTATTAGAGGGCGTTAACAGACTGTATATTGTAATCAGCACAGGTCAGTAATAAGACACTAAAAGCCATGTTATGTAAGTAATATTATATGTTACATATAGTATTTGGTAGTAACCTAATAATTCACAACACACACATATATTAGACACTAGAAGTCTCTTCATTTGAGTACCCAATTCCTGGCACATGTCCTGAGGAAAATCTTGAGCATCTCCAACAGTTGTGATTATACAAAAAACTTCATTAACATAGACTTACCTAATATTTGTGTAGGGTTTGCTTGGTCAAAAGTGAGAGCCTCTTTTTTGGGGAAATAAATATTCACGATTTTGGATGCAGCTGATCGGTAGGCACTACTCCCTATTTACAGAAGAGACAATCATGAAAATCCTAAGGCATACTTAAAAAGGAGACTTCCTAGGTATATGACTATGTTTTCGTAATTATTGAGATATGTAACTACTCAGTGCATGCAATAAAAACAAGCAGCCAGCTACAGAAAACCTCCACAAACTTTTTTGTTTGTTTGTTTTTTGACAGGGTCTCCCTAGCCCCAGCCTGCTTGGAACTTACTAAATAGACCAGGCTGGCCTCAATCTCACAGAGATCCAGGGTGACAACAGCACGCAAGGCGTCTCATCCACAAACCTCTGCATACTGCTTAATGCTTTAGGAAATGAAAACTACAACTTAGAGAAGGCTCTTTCCATCTCAGACTTTCTATTTCTTGTCCTTAAGATTCAATCTAAAGGGGCTGGAGAGATGGCTCTGTGGTTAAGAGCACTAGCTGTTCCTGCAGAAGACCCGGGCTCGATTTCTAGCACTCACATGGCAGCTATCAACCATCTGTAACTCCAATTTCAGGGGATCTAATGCCCTCTTCTAACCTCCGTGGACACTGCATGACATGGTTGTGCTTACATACATGCAGGCAATACATATATAAAAATAACAAATAAAATATTTTTAAAAGATTCAACCCTAAAATATTTTCAGAAAGTCAAAGAGTACAAACAACTATGAGACTTCACTCCCATCTGATAGTATTTCACGCCCTTGTGTCCTTCATTGCTCATTCCACATGATATAGTAGGCCTTGTCATTTTCTATGACATCTTTATAAATCCTACAGGTTAATCAAACTCAGTATGTGATGATGAACAAAACAGGCACAAGATGAACATTCAGCAATATTCAGTGGAATAAAATGACTTCAAATTAAAATGACCTCAATTAAAATGTTTTGGGGGCTTAGAGAGATGGCTCAGCGGTTAAGAACACTAGTTCTTTCAGAAGACCCAGGTTCGAATCCCAGCACCCACATGGCAGCTAACAACTGTCTGTAACTCCAGTCCCAGGAGATCCCACAGCCTCTTCTGACCTCCGTGGGGACTGCACGTCATGGGTGCACTTACCTACATGCAGGCAATACACGCATACACATAAAATAAAAATAGTAAAATTTTTAAAAAAAATGTTTTGAAGTCCTGGAGATCAAGCCCAGGGTATTATGCTTGCTAGGCAAGAGCTCTATCACTGAGCCACACAGTTTCAATGAATTTTTAAAAATCTACATGGAAAAGGAAAGTATCTACCTGTAAATGGATCCACTCCAGCCATGGTAGTGCCCATCCCTGCAGAACCTGGCACATAACGACCAGCACCTAAAAGGCAGTAACACTCTTAGTAAGCAAAGGAGCTACAGATCACAAAGCTAAATCACTTTCTTACACACATAATAAATGTGCTATAAATTCAGAAAAATGCTTCAAAGTTTGCTGCATATAGTAAGTGCTCACTACATGTTAGGCTAAAAAATAAGTGACAAGAATAAACATTAGAGGCCTTTCACATTATACTTACAGAAATTAGTGAACTACAACAAAAGTGGATTAAAGAGGAAAAAGTGGTTTCCAAACTGAAATGTGAACCCCCTTTTCTAAGTAAAAGGGCAGGATTAGCTACTAGTACATAACAAAGGCTTAAGAGAGAGTTTGGGATGCTCTGACAACAGCCCAGTCACATTTCAGATTGCACTTGTGACTGTCTTATTGACAATAGAAAGATGAAAAATAAGTATATGTAGAGAACAAGCAGAATTTCGAGATGTTTAGAGCCCTCTGTTGGCTTCTGAGGGAAGAAGGAAGATTGAGTTGCTCTGTTCTAAGTTTACACATAATCCTTATGGCACAACCAAGGTAACATACATAGAAAAGGTGAACTAATCAAACAAAAGTATTCAAAAAAGGTTAATAATGAAAATGACAGAATAAGCGGATTTGTAGACTACAACTGTATGCAAACCAGCATACAGCTATGTAACATAGTTATTAAACTAATAAATACCATTATAATTAACAAATTTTATGAGACAAATGTTGAATAATCTGCCCAAGGCATTAAGCTACTAAGAGGAAGAGTCTAGTCTAAATTGACTCCACTTTACAAATAGGAAACTTGTGGCTGGAGAGATGGGTCAGTGGTTAAGAGCACTGGCTGCCATTGCAGAGGACCCAGGATTGATTCCCAGTATCCACATGGCAGCTAACAACCATCTGTAACTCCAGTTCCAGGAGACGTAATACCCTCTTCTGACTTTTGTGGGCACTGCATGACATGGGTATACCTATCTACATGCAGGCAATATACTCATACACATAAAATAATATTTAAAAAACAAGAAACTTAAAAAAATTTTATCTTAAAAGTCAGGACTGAGGCTGGGCATGGTGGTGCACGCCTTTAATCCCAGCACTTGGGAAGCAAAGGCAGGCGGATCTTTGTGAGTTCAAGGCCAGCCTAGTCTACATAGGACAGCTGAGGCTACAGGGAGACCCTGTGTCAAAAAGACAAAAAAAAAAAAAAAAAAAAAGCCGGGAGTGGTGGTGCACATCTTTAATCCCAGCACTCAGGAGGCAAGGGCAGGCCGATTGCTGTGAGTTCAAGGCCAGTCTGATCTACATAGTGAGTTCTAGGCCAGCTGGAGCTACAGGGAGACTCTGACTCAAAACAAAACAAAACAAAGCAAAATCTTAGAGCACCCAGACCATTTAATCAAAAGTGTCTGGTGAAGGATCATGGCACAAGCATTTCTTTTTTAACCTCCCCAACAGTGAAGATAAAACACTGAAATACATAATTTAAACAAACTTCCCAGATCTCTCTAATGAACATTAAAAGTCTGAGTACTGCACAAATGAATAAAGAAAATAAAAACAAATGAAGACTGACCTTTAGTTGTAAGCCAGATAGGAAAATCCGTTGTTCTCAATGCCATTGGTAAGGCTGGGAGAACAGTAATAACAGCTAACATTTAATCATGGCCTAACAGTAGACCAGACTGGCCTCAAACTCAGAGCTCTGCCTACCTCTGCCTACCTAGTGTTGAGAATTAAAGGTGTATGCCATCACATCCGGCTGTTCTTTCTTTCTTAATATTTTATTGATTATTTTTATTTTATGTTGTGGTGGTTTGAATGAAAATGTCCCCCATAGGCTCCAAGTGTTTGGACATTTTGTCCCCAGATGATGGGGACAAACCTGTTCTGGGAGGTTTTAGAAGGTGTGGCTATCCTGGGTGTGGGCTTAGAGTTCTTAAACCTTGCCAGATCTCCAATCATCAGGTTCTTGCTTCCTGTGCCTGTGTGATGTGAGAGCTTAGCTTCTGCTGCTCCTGCTCCAGCCACTTCCAGCCACCGTGCTTCCCTGCCATGACAGACTGTAACTCCCCTGGAACTGTAAGCTCAAATAAATTCTTCCTTCTATAAATTGCTTTGGTCAGTGTTCCTATCACAGCAACAGAAAAGTGACTAATACATATGTATATGAGTGTATTGCCTGCATGTATGTGAGTGCACCCGTGTTGTGCAATGCTGCAGAATTCATAAGAGGGCTTCAGATTCCCCTGGAACTGGAGTTAAGGACAGTTCATAGCTGCCATGTGGGTGCTGGGAAACAAACCCGGGTCCTTTGCAAGAGCAGTCAGTGCTCTTAACTGCTGAGCCATCTCTCCAGCCCCTCTTTTTGTTTCTTAAGACAAGATATTCTTACTGTGTTACTCAGGCTGGCCTCAACTCATGATTCTTCTGCCTCAGTCTCCTGAGTACCACCATATACGATTCATTATCTGTTCTTTATACAAGTGCAGTCCAGTGATCCTAGCGATATCCTAATTCTCCCTGATGCTTGGTAGGCTATTTTGCATGTGTACATGTTCAAGGCATGTTCTAAGTCACTGACACTGTGCACCAGTGAGACCTGCTGCAATGACAGTTCTAGAAGCTCTTGATTCTATTCGTACTGGTTTAGGTTGATATGTTTTTTTCTTTGAGAAAAATAAAAGTGCTATGAAAAGATCTTGGAACTCTGCTGGAATACATTTCAGGGCATCACTGTTCCTGGACTACTGGTAGAAGAAAGTCACCATTTTAGACTCCAGATCTTTCTTGCCATTTGAAATCAAAGCACATCCTCAAACAATTAACAGCCAGTGTACTGCCAAAGCATTTATCTTGCAAGTTGGCCATTTTATTATACTGACTGTCAATTTACAAGGAGCAACCACTTGCATTTGGGTGTCTAACTCATTCACTGAAGAAAGGATCTCATGGACAGCCATTCAAAGTCTCATGGCATGGACCTACAGTTGTGCTGCAACAATGGTCAGCTGAGAGAGGGATGTGGGCTGTCATATCACAGCTCACAGTACTGAGTCAGGAAGACCTCTGGATTCCATAACAGTCATGGATGTCTTCCAAACTGCATGTCTAGGTATTCTGCCTCAAGATCCAACAACAGTACTTCTTGAGACAGTAGCCTGGAACTTGCTATGTAGAGCAGGCTGGTCTGTCTCACAGAGATCTGCCTGCCTCTGCCTCCAGAGCGCTGGGATTAAAGGCGTGGCCCACCACACCCGGCCTGCCTGCTTACTTGCTTGCTTCCTTTCCTTCTCATATTGAGACACTCTGAAAATAGAGCCTTCTTCAGCAGCATTAAGGCTCAATCCCCAATCTGCTATTTTTTGCCAATAGTGGTGACACTGAAGCTTGCATATCTCAGGCAACAAATTCACTCTGAAGAGCTATAATGATACTTCAAGGCTTCAAGAAGGCCATTAATAACTTGGGGTCAGGAACAGTCATCCTGGATAGCTGGGCAGAATGCCTCCTTCCATGCTAAATCAAAATATGCCTAGGCTAGGCAGACTACTGGATTGTGCTGCTCCGCCAAACACCAGGAACTCATGAGGCTTCTTCCCTGTTTGTGACTGGCACATCTTGCCAATGTCAGCATGGGTGCTGGGTCTTGGTTGGCAGATTCTCCTATTATCTAATTTGACAGATTTAATAAAAATAGGCCCAGAAAGGCTAAAAAAGTTGTCAATTTCTCACAGCAAGTCAGCAGTACAGCTAGGTTTTGAACTCAGGCCTGGCTGACACTAAAAACTTTATTTTTTAGGTACTCTATTCTCTCAGTGGGAAGAACTATTACAGAAAATGATGAGTTCTGATAATATGCTACTTAAAATCATGAGAAAATCTACAAAAGCATTCCAGGAAAGAACAAAAATTAGAAGCTAAAAGATCTATCAAAATTTGCTGGGCATGATGGTGCACGTCTTTTATCCCAGCACTTGGGAGGCAGAGGATGGTGGATTTCTGTGAAATGAAGGCCAGCCTGTCTATATAGAGTTCCAGTTCAGCTGAGGCTACAGGGAGACCCTGTCTCAATAAATAAGTAAATAAACAGATAACGAAATTGAGAATACAGATAAGGGAACTATCCACTACTGGATAATCCAATGTAAATCCCCCAATGTAAAGCCATATAATACAAGATGTTATGTGTTTAGCAATGATTACACTAATGGATGCTGCATCCCACCTGTGAAAGGGTCTGCTGCCTGCACTGTGCTGGAAGACCCTGAAGAGCCTGGAACATACCGACCACCACCTGCGCATGAAAAGCAATGACAAAGTTGAAGTGGATCAAAGCTGTTGACTTTAAACAGCACTGTCCTAGTTTTAAAAGAACCTAAGCTTGGGGAAAGGCACAAGAGCAAAACTGTCACATGACAGAATGACAGAAATTATGGTCAAATGTCTTATTGCTGGGAAGAAACTGAAATTTCAGTGGTTCTCCAAGTGAAGTTTCTTAACTCTTAATGCCTTTTTATCTTAGCCCCAGTACATATATATGGAAACAAATGAATTCCGTATAAAGAGAACTGTAGGCAATCTCTGACCTAAATGATATACAGATATAACCAATCTTTATCCTTGTTCCTACACAAATTCAGTAGAATTCCTTTGGTTGCTGTTTCTATAAAAACCACAGGCTTTAAGTGTTAATCTTTTGGAAAAGCCCTGAATTCATTAACTCTTAAGTCAAACAGCACATTCAGTGCTGAGAATCCAGTAGGGAACAAAAGTGATTGTAAGCACTGAAGCTTACAATCTATGTGAAGAAAGAATTACATAGGGGATGAAAGCAACAAGGGAAGAAGACTTTCATTTACGTGCTCACAAGTGTGGTATATGGACATGTGGGGATTTTTTAGTGCCTTTAGGAGGAAAAAAAATCACATTCACACACACAAATATGTAGGGATACTTACAAAGTCTTAAAAGAATAAAATATGCCAAGCAATTGCTAATCGTGCAGACATAGCCAACTGCTTTAATATCTGTGTTTTATGTTGAAACAGCATTTTATAGAAGAGCAATGTGCTCCCCTTTGCTCTTCCTGTGGCCTGAAATGTCAACCGAGCATACAGGGAACGAAGCACGAGTCTCTCCATCCTTGTGCTGGATGCCGCATGTGTGCAGGGTTAAGTTGTTCATAATCCTGAATTAGTCAGACCATTTTGACTGTTAGTGAGCAGGGTGGATTAGTTCTATTATGTTTTAAAAACCTTTTTTTTTATTATTTTTAAATTTTATGTGTTTAAGTATATTACCTGCATGTAGTGTACCCACGTCATGTAATACCTGTGGATATCAGAAGAGGGCATTGGATTCCCCTGGAATTTGAGTTACAGTCATTAGCCACCATGTGGGTTCTGGGAATCGAACCCAGGTCCTCTGCAAGAACAGCCAGTGCTCTTAACCACTGAGCCATCTCTCCAGCCCCTAGTTTTATTATGTAAATGGGCAATGGAATCTTCTGTTAGAAGAGACAATTTGGGAATATGTAGAATCTAAGGAAAGAAGAGCAGATCTACATATGAATCAGAGGGGAGAGCATATGGGGTTTGGAGGGGTTTTTGTTTTAAATTTGGTTTATTTCAACATCATTTTTTACTTTTAGCAGTTTTTGGATATGAGCTTAAGCCTTTAACTGCCGAGCCAGCTCTCCAGCCCTTGCAATGGTTTTTAAAGATTTATTTTATGTACATATGTGAGTGTTTCCGTGTATGTAATATGTACTATGTATGTGCATGGTGCCCACAAAAGCAGAAGGCATCAGATTCCCTGGAACTGGAGTTTCAAACAGCTGTGAACCATGCCTTCTGAGTGTTGGGAATTGAACCTGGACCTGATGCAAGACCAGCAAGTTCTCTTTTTTAGTTGCTGTGTTCTCTCTCCAGTCCCCAAAGAGATGGGATTTTTATAAAACAAAGGCAAAAAAAAAAAACCACTACTAGCACACGAAAACACGGGGACTGCAGACGTACTTCAGCAGACACAGGGGAGACACACACACACACACACACACACACACACACTAACTGTAACGTAGCTATTTCAAAATTGTATTTAGAGGAAGTCTTACAAGAAGAGAAGACATCCCATTTCCTTTGTACCTCGATTTTCTGGATCCAGAACTTAACTGCTTGGATTTTAATTTACATACTAATATTACTTCCTAACCCCATTAATATTTTATTAGTGATAGCATGTCATATTACAGACATCTTAAAATGAACACATCAAATGCAAATCACACACAATTCTGTTCTAGAGTTGGTGTATAATATGTATTAAACAAACAAAAAGAGGCCAGGGCTGTTTAGATGGCTCAGTGGGTTAAAAGCATCTGTTGATGACCGGAATTTGATGCTGGAGACCATCATAGTAGGACAGAACTTGCAAGTTGTTCTGTGACCTTCATATATGCCGTGGCACACACATGTCCAGAGACACATAGATAGATAGATAGATAGATAGATAGATAGATAGATAGATAGATAGATAGACAGACAGACAGACAGACAGACAGACAGACAGACAGACATAAAATTTCTTTACAAAACACATGGAAACTAGAGACTGGGAGTGTAGCTCGGTGACGGGACAATACAGCACACACAAGGCCTTGGATTCGATGCCTATTGCCAATAAATAAGTAAAAGTACGTTTCCATTTATTTCAAATTATTGAATCAAAGCATCTTAATTTTATTTAGTTTACAGGAACCAAACTTAGGTTCTCGGTAAGAGTGGCAAGCACTAAACGCTGAGTCATCTCTCCAGCCCCATGAAGATAGATGTATTTTTTTGTTTTTTGGTTTCTGAGACAAAGTCTCACTATGTAGTCTTGACTGGCCTCAAGCTCACAGAGATCTGCCTGCCTCTGCCTCTGAGTGCTGGGATTAAAGGTGTGTGCTACCACACCTGGCTGAAGACACAGTTTTGAAAAGATAAAATGTTATAATTGTTTCTATAAAATATAGACTCACTGTATAATTTGCCACTAGTAAATCCCCTGTTGATCTTAGTTTTTGTTTAAAAACAGCAAACCATAACCATTTAAAAGACTAGAAAAATCAACAAGGGTTATAGTTCAGTGACAAGAATATGTGCTTGGGCATAGACATTGGATAAAATCCCCAGTACTAAAACAAACCAAACCAAACCAAACCATGACAACAAAAAAACATAATACTAGTGAGTTCCAGGACAGCTGGGCGTACAAGGAGACCCTGTCTCAAAAAGACCAAAAAAAAAAAAAAAAAAAAACCAAACCATAATACTAATGTTAGTACATGAGATTTAATACCAGTCTGAACTCACCTGTAAATGGATCTGAAAAACTTGTGTTTCCAAGTCCCAAAATTTGACCTTTTGTGTTATCAATAATAAATTTAGCCACCTGATCCAAAAACATGGGATTCAAGTCATTCTTCTGCAAGAAGTTGTATGCAGCTAGCCAGGGATCCTCACTGACATTATATGGTAATTTATATGATGGTCCACCTTCATTGACTTCAATGGAGAAAACATAATCAAATTCCTACGAGAATATAAAACAAAAGATAAACTAATTTACCTGTTTGTATATGTTGAAAATATATTTAGTACAGATATCATGTAATGTTTATTTTACAATTTTAATACTTCAGCATTCTCTACAATACAATGGTAGAAGCTTCTTTTTGGTAGATAAAGAGTATGTATTACAAAATTAGTATTATTGGGGTAGGGTAGGTGATGACTGAGATAAGAGATAAATTACAATTACTTACTAATTCTAGTCTAAAGGAAGGTTTCCAAATAGTTGATCTCAAGGCCACAATTATCAGCTGTTAGGGTGCCCTACTCACCAAGACATACCAGTATTATAAGCACAGCCCTGCAGTGTCCCTCATGTCTTGTCAAATTAAACAGAGCCAGGCATTAAGCATTACATGAAAGATGACAAAAACTCCTAATCAAAACAGGCTGGGAACAGTTTTGAATGGGAAATTCTAAAAGACAGATAATGGCTAATTTATCACATGTAGCTCTCTACATGGAAAAACTATATACCCCCAAAATGTATATATATTTGAAATCTATTTTAAGAGTGGAAAAAAGATAATCTTCTCACAATAATGGTTTTTTTTTTTTTTGAGGCAGAGTCTCCCTGTAGCCCCAGTTGTCCTGGAATTCACTATGCAGACCAGGCTGGCCTTGAACTCACAGAGATCTATCTGCCTGCCTCTGCCTCCCAAGTGCTGGGATTATGATCGTGCGCCACCACGCCCGGCTTTAATGTATTTTTAAAATGTCAAAATACCAAAGAACATTTTATTAGCATGGAGAATGGAAAATCTTTAATTTGCTGAGTAGTTTAAAATAATAATAATAATAATAATAATAATAATAATAACAGAAAGCAGAATTAGACATACTTTCCCTTCATATAAAACTTTTCCAGATGTTTGCTGATTAGCACCAGATGAGCCAACAACATCACCAATTTTTATCCACTTCCCTTCACTAACACTCCACTGATAGGCTTCAACTCTCTCTCCATCTCTGATTAGACGAGTCTGTCCTTCTCTAGTACCTTGAAACAAAAATTTTAAGAATCAAAGGTAGAAGGGCAGAGTAAAATTTAAAAACATTTAGATAGAAAATTTTTAAAAATATTTTATTTATTATTTTCATTTTATGTGTATATGTGTGTATTGCCTGCATGAAGGTAAGTGCACCTGTGTCATGCAATGCCTGCGGAGGTCAGAAGAGGCTGTCCGATCCCCTGGAACTGGAGTTACAGACAGTTGTTAGCCATGTGGGTGCTGGGATTCCAACCCGAGTCTTCTGCAAGAACAGCCAGTGTTCTTAACCACTGAGCCATCTCTCCAGCCCCTTATTTATTATTTTTATTTTATATGAATGAGTGTAATGCCTGCATGCATGTGAGTGCACCCTTGTTGTGCAATGCCGTGGAGGTCAGAAGAGGGCTTCAGGGGGGCAAATTTACTGCCAAGTGTGTCCTGTTAATATATTTCATTTTAGTAAACTAGATTGTCATTCTTCCAGTGGCTCAAGCCAAAAAGCAAAAGAGTGACAGGTCTCTCAGTTCCACAGCCAATCTACCAGCTCATTCTTTCAGAAATATCTAGAAAGCTGCATCTTCTCATTACCTCCATCATAACCCCAAGGTACCATGTCTCAGTTGAACAGACAGAACAGTCTCTACTCCTGCTTCTGAACCTTCATAGGGCTATCTTCAAATAAACAACCACAGGAATTATTTCAAAGGTGTAAGACTTGAAACTCTTCTGCATAAAACTATTCAATGGCTTCTCATTTCACTCTCAGGAAAAGCCTGAATCTTTGGTATGCTGTATGAGGACAGAGAAAAGTGCTTCCACCCAATTCTCTGGCCTTTCCACTGACCCTTCTCTAGTTTCTTCATCATCCCACTTTAGCCTCTTTCTCTAAAGTACAATGCTAAAAGTCCTATACTAGCTATTCAATCTGCTTATGACACATGTCATACAGACAATAGAAAGATTAGCCAGCTCCTCTGCATATCACTTATTTATTATTATTTTGAGACAAGATCTTGCTTTGTTGCACAGACCAGTGCTTCCAACTCTTAGGCTCAAGCAAACTTCTTCCTTTCTGATCTGATATGAGGCCTTCTCCACAGGAGGGATTTCATGCCTGCTTCTGTAAACTTGGTCAAAAGTTCATGATTAGAGAGGTCATAGGCCCTAGGAGGGAATCTATTTTGCTAAATAGGCTGTGAGGCTGCTCTCGAAATATACATGTTTATGCTAATAGGTTTGTATTGGTCTCAAGTTTGGTCAGAGAATCTTCTTTTTATAAAGTGGGTAAGAACTAATACAGAGACTTATAACTCAAAGTGCCGATTATAAGTAACTGTGAGTGCTCAGCCCCTCCACCCATCCAAGGCTCAAGGAAATCCCAGAAGAGAAGTAGAAAGAGTATAAGAGCTGACAGACAGGGAAAGGAGCTGTGAAATGCTGGCTTCTGGGCATGACATGGTTATTACACCCATCAACTCACAGCAGCTGTGGCTGCCTGCCATGATCAAGACAATCAATCTTCCAGCATGGCTGGGGGCCCTGAAGGCCCAACCTCCGCACAGGAGCTATATGCAGTCAGTAACAGCTGAGGGAGGGAAAGTCACTGGTAGGCTGCCTGCCTCATATCCATTAGCATCTGAGCAGCACTAAATGAACTCAATAACAATACCAAAAGTACCTGAGGTTGGGAAGGAAGTGGGGTGGGGAGCACTAGTGGGGTAGTGGTGGATGGATATGATGGACATACATTTATATAAATGTATAAAATTTTCAATAAATAAAAGATTTTAAAATTCTCCATGAAAAGTCCCACTGCTATTAAAATAAAAAAGCAAAATTCTCAATACACACAAAAGATGTCTTCCATATACCCCAGCCTTAACAGCCATACTCAGTTATTCTTTCAAATGACATTCCATGAAAAAAATGGATATTTTAGGGTACAACTTAAATAACTACACAACTCTTTTCCTGAGATTGGACACAGTATTGTGGTGTATTTTATGTATACTTTACATTCTGTCATCCAGATCTTTTAAAAATGTGAACTAAAGGATCAAGATGTAATAGAAGCAAAACAGTGTCACCCTAAGGCTATGTTTTAGGGTATATATACACGTGTGTGTGTGTGTGTGTGTGTGTGTGTGTGTGTGTGTGTATGTATGTGATCATTCCTCCCAATACTACCACTGCACCTCAGGAAACAAAGTAGCTACTACAACAGTTTGGGCTACTACCTTGATTTGTGTCCACTTTTTGCAGAAATGCAAGCTTTCACTGATAGAAACAAACAAACAAACAAACAAAAACCAAGTATCTAGAACCATAAGATTAGCTTTGATCTCATGAATACCTTGAATGATCTTAGAACTCCCAGGGACCGTGAGCCAGGGAGCACTGCTATAATGGGTCAGGGTTCTGTCACAGACTATTTCATTTGAGATGACTTTTGTCCTCTGATTTAAATTAATAGGATTCCCAATTCGTTATGTAGATAATGCTTTATTATTTAACCTCATTTTTATGCTTAGACTTTATAACCTCCTTCATAGAAACCAATGAACCAAAGATTGACTCTTGAACATCTATTTCTGAGCTAAGTATTGGGAGATTTGGGGCTGGAGAGATGGCTCAGTGGTTAAGAGCACTGACTGCCCTTGTAGAGGACCCAAGTTTGAGTCCCAGAACCCACATGGTGGCTACAAATGGTCCTTAACTCCAGTTCCAGGGGAATCCGAAGCCCTCTTCTGACCTCCGTGGCATTGCATGACACGGGTGCACTCATATACATTCATACACATAAAATAATATACATTCATACACATAAAATAAAAATTTTTTAAAAGTATTGGGAGATTTATGAAAAAGAAAAAAATTCCTGTTAATGGATACTTCAATGTTCAGCTGTACAACAGGTAAGAAGAACAGGGCTTCTCATATCAGTTCTGTGTGATAGAATTCTCAAATATTAGCATATGACATTAAGAAGAACAATGAAATACTGGCCAAACACTTGTTACTACCCTTAATATTCCAAAAGTCAAATACGGATAGCACTTTAAACTACGGGTACACTGTAATATTTACCCGGTTCATTCAGATGTTCTCTCCCAGGAAGCTGCTCAGCATTAATGTCCCCTAAATCACCAGTTTTGGAATCAATAGTTGCCTGAGAGAGCTCTTTTTCAAAAGCCTTGATTTCCTCGGGACTTGCTGTCCGATCCTCTGATTCTGTAAATACCCTAATAACACCATCACTATAAGGAAAAGCAAACTGTTCTTAAAAGTCATTGCCACAGTGTATTAGCATACTCACCAGTGAATAAAGCAAAACTAACCTGTATTCCCGACTATGGAAAATATCACTATGTACTGTTGAGCAGAGCAGTGTGCTAACTGTAACATAGATTTCTTTGTTATTTCAGCTATTTAAAGAAGTTACTGCCAAAGGATGAAATACATTTTTTAAAAAAAAAGCCAGTGACTGAACCCACAAGAGTCTTGCGCTATACTAGTTCTCTACCACTGAGTTACATC